AAAGCACAAATACAAGTAATCACTGAGAGGAAAGGAGGGGAAATCAAGTGGTTACCGGGCGCGAAGCCAAGAGGTATTTGAGACCCAAGAGGCCACTGTGGACGGCCATCCAGCTGGTCTTGGAGAAGAAGCAGGCACTTCCGTCAGCCGCGTGCATCGACATCATACCGAGAAGGTGACGAACAACCTCCTTCACTTGTTCCATGTTCAGATGACTTGCCAGGACGCCAAGAACCTGAGCAGCTGTCTCACGCACGGGTGCAACAACCTGTAAAGGAAGAAGAGGATGATGATTACGATGGTGAGTATGCCTTTATTCCTCTACTTGTTTGATCTGTCAAAATACGAAGAAAAAACTAAAGTGGCGAGGCGTGCTGGCCCTCGCGACGTCTAAAATGGGTGGGAATACCGATCAGAGTTATTTTATCGACAACACAGACCATTTCATGAAGCTTTTCGGCCTATTTGGGCCTCATCAATGTCAGGGTGAGTGCATCCTAAACAGATCGGAGTAGGATTACCAAATAACATACCGATCAGAGTTTGAATGTCTTAGATCACAACCAAGGGCACGTGTTAGTTAGTGGCACGGCAGTATGGGAACCAGATCAGGGCGCGGCAGGCATTAGCCTAGCTGCCGCCTACTTGGCGCGTCCACAGGTGGCGAAATAAGAAGGCTCCTCGGCCTCGCGAATAAGAAGTCGCGGACCAACAGCGACAGTGTTACCAGGGCGCGGAGGGCTGATGCCTAGCGCACCGACTGCCTTATAAAATGGCGCAAGTCCAAACGACGACACTGTAACATGGTGAGCATGAACCACCATCTAATAGGTTTGTTCGCCATCGGTGGCTTTTGGTTAGGTTCTTGACTCCCTGGTGTTAGAGGAGACAATTGCGAACAAAGAATCCAAGGGGCGTATTAGGAAACGCTTGTATTCAAAATCGCCGAGATTTCTCCTGCCAACTGAGCCCGGCTACCTTAGACAGGATCACAGCCGTATCAAGTAAAAGTACGGTAGACGTTATTCGAGTTGCGCTCCAATAATCAATGCCGAACAAAGGGCACGCGTAAGTGCAGGTTCAAGTCGCACTAGGTACAGCGTACAGTACAAAAAAGGAGTTTTTTAAAGGATGCAAAAAGAGAAAAGAGCGTCAAGACGATTTGACAGACAGCTAAAAGCTCTAGAGGACTTCTGGTAGATAACTAAAAACGCAGCCTTCCCTGCCAAATCAGTATGCTGGCAGCCAGAGCCCGCCAATCCTTCTGCCTACGTACCCTCAAGGTTAGCAGGAGCAGGTGACTGACAACCGCACTTCTGGCAAGCTTTGTTAACCGGTGTATGGCACGGGCGCCAAGACTGGTGTTTCGAATCCAGTTTTTTTGTAAACAGACAAAAAAATAGTCAAGTGATTTGATGAAGTGGATCCGACAAAGCTCAGGGAGACCGGAATGGCCATTTCTGGCTTATTAGCCGTCATCAGCCAGTCA